GGTGGTATCACTATGGAAGTAGATTGCCCAATCTTCCTTCTGAGGAGTGGCTGGTGGGTTTGAACCACCAGCCTTCTGGTTAGCAGTCAAATGCCCTAGGCATCAGTTAGGCAATTATAAAAGGCAAAATAAATATGGGGTGAAAACAGGGATATTTTCCTAAGTTTCATAGATTGCTGATCATACCCAGCTTCAGTTTCTTGGCCAATGCATCAATTTGAATAGTGGGATCGGATCCCATGGACAGGAAACATATTAAAGGTGTTCGTGCATCACTTTCTTCCCAAGTTTTCTCCAGATTTAAGATAACTGGTTCTGTGTACTTTTCTTCCAAAGAATCTGCAATATACTTTCTTGCTTGAAAGACAGTACGATCCGGGCACCAAGACCTAGAAATGAATATAAGTCAGAGGAAATAAATACACTGTGTCAATTTTTTTTATTCTATTTAATTGTACGCACTTATAAGAACACAATGATAAATGGAGGAAATACTGTTTTTATTTTACTTGGATCTACAATCAACACCCATGGAAGCAGCAATCAAGAAATCAAACGATGCAATGCATTGGGCAAATCTTCTACAAAAGACCTCCTTAAAGTGTTTAAAAGCAAAGATATCACTTTGAGGATTAACGTGCACCTGACCCAAGTCATGGTATTTTCAATCACCTCATATGCATACAAAAGCTAGACAATGAATAAAGAAGACTGAAGAATCAATGCCTTAGAATTATGGTGTTGATATTAAATATACCATGTACTGACAAACAAATCTGTCTTGGAAGAAGTACAGCTGAAATGCCCCTTAGAAGTGATAATGACAAGACTTCATCTCACATACTTTGGACATCTTATCAGGATGACCATTCTCAGGAAGACATCATGCTAGGTAAAGTAGGGTCAGCAAAAAAGAGGAAGATCCTCAATGAGATGGATTGACAGACATAGTGGTTCAAACATAGCAGTGACTGTGAAGATGGTGCAGGACTAGTCAGTGTTTTCTTCTGTTGTACATAGGATAGCTATGAGTCAGAACCAATTCAACAGCACCCAACAGCAACAACAAATAAGAACACATTTCAATTAGCCAAATGACAACAAGTTAATTGTCCCTTATGCAGATCTGTGTAAATGGAATGTCAAGGTTTTCTATCCCTGGATGGGTGTAAATTTAATCAAGTGGTTTTGTTGCTAGGCATTGGCAAGGACTAGGGCAGAACCAGTAACAAATGTTGTCAATCTGAAGAAGAATTTAGAAGTCAGCTGATCCATGTGCCTCATTTTCAAAAGAAGCAATGACTCTAGAAGTTTAATTAGTTATTTTTTAAAAAATTAAAGATTATCCCATAGCTGCTAAGGCTAACAGCTTCAGGTATGCAGTTACCTATTCAAACTAATCATAATGTACAGGAGCACATTCATTCTTTGACAGATATTGTCTACTACATCTCAGGCTCTGCTCTACGTGCTGAGGATTCGGCTGGAATTTAAGGGAAGTGCCCTCCACCAGCTTCAAATACACTTCAAAGGCCAAACTGCTGTGTACCCTGAAGCTCTAAAGTCTTAAGTGAGAGAATCAACAAGTCAAAAGTGTCAAAAGTAGTTGATACCACTTCACACCCACTAGAATGGCTATTACCAGAAAATAACAAGTGTTGGCAAGTATGTAGAGCAATTGGACCCACATCCCCACCCTCCTATCACCCCTCCCCCACCATTGCATTGCTTGTGGGAATGTAAAATTGTGCAGTTCCTGTGGAAAATCATTTGGTGGTTCCTCAAGAAGTTAAACATACAATTACCATGTTGTTGTTGTTGTTGTTGTTTTAGACTCCTGGCCTAGCAATTCCACTACTGGGTATATACCCAAAAGACTTGAAGGCAGGGACTCAAATAAATCCTTGTGCACCAATGCTCATTGCTGGATGACTTAACAATAGCCAAAAGGTAGAGATACACAACTGCCATCAACAGACGAATGGATAAACAAAATGTGATATATTCATACAATGGAATATTATTCAGCCATAAGGAGAAATGAAATTTTGATACATGCTGCAACATGGATGAATCTTGAAAACATGCTGAGAGAAATAAGTCAGACATAAAAGGACAAATACTGTATGACCCCACTTAGAATATATGAAATACATTGAACAAGAAAACCATTCAAGACAAAAGAAGACTAGTAGTTACCAGGGCCTGGAGGTATGGGGAATGTGTTACTACTTAAGGAATACTGAGTTTCTAGTTGGTGATGAGAAATTTTTGGAAATGGATACTGATGATGGTACATGGTGAATGTAATTAATGTTATTGAATCGTAAACTTAAATTTGGTTATAACGGAAGCTGCCTGACACCTGGTGGTCACCATGGTTCAACCCCTGTGTGACCTCATACTGTAGCAAGCACTGCAGTTGTTGTTGTTGTTGTTATGTGCCATCAAGTCAGACCCGACTCATAGTGACCCCTCCTTGGGTTTCCGAGGCAGTATCACTACGGAAGTAGACTGCCTCATCTTCCTTCTGAGGAGTGGTTGGTGGGTTTGAACCTCCAGCCTTCTGGTTAGCAGTCAAGTGCCTTAGGCACTACGCTACCAGAGCTCCTAACTGCAGAGGCCACTTCAATGTCTTGAGTGTCTCTCACTCAAGACTTTAGAGCTTCAGGGCACACAGTAGGTTGGCCTTTGAAGTGTATTGAAGCTGGTGGAGGACACCTTTCTCAGATTCTAGCTGAATCCTCAGCATATAGAGCCGAGCCTGAGGTGTAATAGACAATCAATACTTGTCAAAGAATGAATGTGCTCCTATATATTATGATTAGTTTGCAGGATATTAGTGTGCAGGAAAATCATATCTTCCCAGCTTTCCAAGAAGCTATGGCAGAAGTGTAATGTCCACTCCGTGCCCATCTGCAAGGACAAGGTCAAAGTGGTTTGAAGATATTACAATGCTCAGCTTGGCAAGGTATTGCAAGAAAGGTAGAAAGAAGTATGTCATCTACACCTCTGAGAGGGTGCAGCATTCACTCAAACAAGGTGGTTATTACCAGGTTAATATTCAACAAAAATTGAAAAAAAATTCTTGAAGATTAAGCCAAATCTCAACAAGTTGGAAAAGAGAAAGGCAAATATAAGGAAGAACTTATTGAGAAAATGCAGGAATGATTACAACCTGCTGTGGAACCAAAGTTTCACTATAGATTTTTAGCCTAATGTGTATTCCTTAAGGAACTCTGGTGGCACAGTGGTTAAAGCATTCAGCTGCTAACCAAAAGGTCAGAGGTTCAAACTCACCAGCCACTCCATGGGAGAAAGATGTGGCAGTTGCTTCTGTAAAGATTTACAGCTTTGGAAACCCTCTAGGGTAGTTCTACTCTGTCCTATAGGGTCACTACGAGTCAGAATCAACTCGAGGGCAGTAAGTTTGGTTTGGTTTGGTTGTATTCCTTGAGAACTTTTCAAGATGTCTCTGGAATGTTTTACTTCCCCCTTGTTTTGTTACTGATAAGTAGCTCTGTAAACCCACCTTTCCAATTTTGATGAATAATTTTACGAATGAAAATTGTAAATGTTTCTTAATTTCAAAACAAACTGGTTATGACAGCAAATTTTTTGTTATATTTTACCACAATTTTCTTAAAGTTGATTTAATATTATTTGTGTACTGTACACTGTAATAGGTTCTACACACAGAGACACATTGAATAAATGTTATTTGATATTTGAGCACACAGACAAGCTCTTCAGATTTTTATTTGCCAAGGGATTGTACTATTCATTTGACATAGTTCTAATTTTTTAATGCATTTTATTGAAATATAATTTTTATACAGTGAAATACACAAAACTAAAGTGACAAGGGTCAATGCACTTTTTTTTTTTTTTCAGTGTTCCCTCCTCTCTCCTCCCACCCCTGGCATTTCACTTCATATATAAACCTTTCCTTGACCCTTCACAACAACAAACTAATACTATATTTGTCCTTCTGTGATTGACTTATTTCACTCAGCATGATGTCCTCCAAGTTCATCCATATTATGCGGTGTTTTTCAGACTCTACATTACTCTTTAGTGCTGCGTAGCATTCCATTATGTGTATGTACCATAGTTTGGTCATCCACTCTTCCACTATAAATCTTAGAGATAAGTCCCTTGCCAGATATATAATTATTGGCAAATATGAATTTGTTGCTGTCATTTTTGTTATGTGTTTTTTCATGGTGTTGATTTCTTTGTTCCATATAAATTTCTATGCTGAACTCATTTTGTTTATGAATCATGTTATCACTTCCTTCATTGCTGTTGTTTTAGTATTTGCTGAATATTTATGTTGGTCCTCTTTTTTGATGTGAAAATTTATCATTTTTCTTTGAGGTTACCCTGTGATTTATAGTTTTCTTCCCAAGTTTACAACAGTCTGTTCTATCCTGTAGTTGTCTTGACTTCCCTACCATCTAGAAGTTCTGTAATGACACAGTTTTTCCCTCTTTTTGGTTTGTAGTTGTCCTCATTTGTCAATTGATGTCTCTGGTTCCCTGTTTACAATCTTGTAGGCTTATTTACTTTGGACACTTCCATAGCTGGGTTAGTTTCTGGGTTATATCATCATGTGTGTTAATGGTCAGTTGTTGTTGGCTATTGTTGCTTCTCTGTCCAAAGGACTCCCTTTAGCATCTCTTGTAAGGTTGGTCTGGTTTTAACAAATTCCCTTAATTTCTGCTTATCTGGAAATGTCCTAATTTCACTATCATATCTGAAGGACAATTTTGCTGTGTACATAATTCTTGGTGGGAAATTTTTCTCTTTCAGTGTTTTATATATACCATCCCATTGTCTTCTCACCTGCATAGTTTCTGTTGAGAAATCCAAGCTTATTCTTATTGGTTGCCCCTTGTAGGTAACTTTTTATTTTTCCCATGCTGCTCTCATGATTCTTTCTTTGTCTGTGGTTTTGGTAAGTCTGATGATGATATGTCTGGGTGATTTTCTTTTGTGGTCTATTCTGTTTGGGTTTTTTTGGGCTTCCTGAATGGATATATTCTCATCTTTCATCATACCAGGAAAATTGTCTTCCAACAAATCTTTGACAATTTTTTCTGTGGTTTTATCTGTCTCTTCCTATTCTGGAATTCTGATTACACATAGGTTATTCCTTTTGATGGTATCCCACATGAACCTTAGACTTTCTTCGTTTTGTTTTGATCTTTTTCTGATTTATCTCTTTCCAGAGAAGTGTTCAGGTATTTGCCTTCAATCTCCTTAATTCTGTCTTCCATTGATTCAAATCTGCTTCTTTGCCCATTCAATGTCTTATCTATTTCTGAAAATTTAGTATCAATCTTTTGGATTTCTGTGTGTAGATTTTGTATCATTTTTAATTTTTCATTTTTGTTTTGTTTTGTTATTTTGTTCTCATATTGTCTTTTGCAATTATTCTAGGGTTTCCTCAGTGTTTTCCTTGATCTGCCTCTCAATTCGTTGAAGATACCTAAATATAATTCTTTTGAATTCTTTATCAGGGAGTTCCAATGCTGTGTCTTCCTCAGGGATATGTTTTGGGTCTGTATCCTGGTTCCTTGTTTCTCCTGTTTTATCTTGCTTCTTTGTGTGGACTGTGATGCTCTTTTGTCTCCAAGGCATTGTGATGTTTTTGTGTTTATATTTAATTGGTGATTGTATGTTGGAGCGACTTGCCCACAATTTTAATTTTCTTTGTTTTGTTTGTATCTTATCTACACATGCAGAGTACTGTGCTCCTCTATTTGCTAGTTCACAGCACTTATACACTCACCACCTGTCTCCTTTCCTGTTGTCAGCCTCTCTATATCCCTGCTGACCTTGGAAAACAGAGCCTATTCTAAGGTCTCTGGAATCTCAATGAGAATGCTATCACTTTAAAATCCAAAATGGCCACCGCTTGTAAACATTCAAAATGGCTGCACCCTTGGTCACTTGAAATATTCAAAATGGCTGCCATGTGTAAACAATCCAAATGGCTGCACCCTGCAGACAGCAGAAATTTGACAGCTTAGGTTGTCTACCTCCTTGCTGTTTTCCTTTCTAGTCATAGGCCACCAGCACAGTTGTCCCTGCAGCCCTTGGTGACCAGGGCTGATCTTTAGGTCAATTGTCAGGTTCTAACCCCACTTGGAAATATTCAGGCTGTTGGTCCCATCAGAGTAGCTGACAGTCCACAGCTCCAACAGTCTCTGTACTCACTGTTCTCATTCAGGTTCTTTCACTAGTTGGTGCCTAATCCACTTCTTTATAGTTCCTTTCAAAGCTCAGGGCTCCAAGATTATCTTCTGTATCTCTGTCAATTGGTTTTTTGTTTCTTTGTTGAAAAGGGTCTATGTTGCTTGTCTGCTTATTCCTCCATCTTATCAGAAGACATAGATCCAATTTTAAATGATGATTAAAAAAGAGTCACATGTATTCCAATAAAAGCAAGTACCTTTAATACCCTGTACATCCAGAGGTCAGTGTTGCTGACAAATCTCAAAGGGAGACAATATCCAGTAAAGAAATCTTTCTAAGAAGTGAAAGTTCAGGTGTATAACATTAAGAAAGATAAAAACTGCTCCAAAATAACTTACAGTGTTTTGTGATCCTTTGGGTGGCCTGATCTCCCCCAAACCCTACCCTTCATCCTTGCCCACAATTGACACACACACACACACACACACACCCTTCCAGTGGCTCTTCCAGTATGGAAAGGCCTCTTTGAACTACTAGATATTGAGAAGATGTGAGAAGGGAGAAGGGAAAGGAATGTTTTCATTTAACATTCATTTAAAACTTCTGCTTCCATTTTAATAGCCCAAATAGAATTTATACATTGCAATAGCACAATATTCTTTTTGTTTCCTCAGATGAAATACAGTTTTACCTTTGAAACTGATTGTCTTGTGAGTTCGTGGGATCTGTTTTTTTTAAAAGAAGTAAATTCAACAATAAGGGATTTATTCAATGCTAAATGATGAACAAAGCAAATAATAAAAATGTATTTTTCACTTTTTTTCCTAAAAGCACTAGCATTAATACATTGTCAAAATATACCACTTCCTGCCACCATAACTATTTTATTTTACTTGTCAAGGAATAAACAACTGTCATCCAAATCCATAATCTAGAAGCACATACACTTGTTATAATAACTGCAGGGACAAGTTGAAGTAAACTTCACTGAGGTTAAGAGATCTAATTTACTGATGCAATGAGTGATGCTTCCAGGTCTGAGGATACCTAGTCTCACCTGATCAGCAAAAGTTTACGGCAGGTGTCTAGTGAATCATTATATCCATCAGGGATAATTTCCTCCTCTGGAGCATCTTTGTCAAACCAGCTTTTCCACCCCTTCTCATTACGAGATATCTAAAAGAAACAAGCTAATTAGCAAGTCACAGGAACATATGTCATTGGAATATATTGCCCTGGTGGGGCTCAGCTAATGCACTTGGCTGCTAACCAAAAGGTGGGTAGTTCAAACCTACCAGTCACTCCGTGGTAGGAAGATGTAGCAGTGTGTGCTCCCATAAAGATTTACAGCCTTGGAGACCCTATGGGGCAGTTCTATTCTGTTCTATTGGGTTGCTGTAAATCAGAATCAACTCCACAGCTGTGGGTTTGGTTTTAGTTTTTTTTTCCCCCCCCCCTGAATAAAAAGGTCATTGTTTATAAGCATACAGTTTTTTAGGCATGAGAACACAATTAAAATTTTTCTTCAGAATCAGTGACTAAATAGTACGGATATTACTATTTCCCTGCAGATTTTCCATTGTTTTTCTACACTTTTCACTAAAATTAGGATCATATGTAAATTACACCAAATGGTTGGGGAGGAAGAAAACAGAACAGGGTTTCTCAGCTTCAGCACTACTGACATTTTAGACCAGAAAAATCTTTGTTGTGGGGGCTGTCCTGCATAGTGGAGGATTCTTAACAGCATCCCTACCTTCTATCCACTAAATGTCATGACACACACCCTGCCTCCAAGTCACAACAATCAAAAATGTCTCCAGACATCACAGAATGTCCCCTGGGAGGGGATACAAAATCATTCTTCGGTTGAGAACCACTGACACAGACCATCCTGATAACCACATGGTTAACAGGCTCAGCTGCTAACCAAAAGGCTGGCGGTTTGAGTTTCAACCAGAAGCATCTCGGAAGAAAGGCCTGGTGATCTAGTTCCAAAAAATCAGCCATTGGAAAGGTATGGAGCCGAGTTCTACTCTGACACACATGGGGTTGCCATGATTCGTAATCAACTCTATGGCAGCTGGTACTGGTTACTTACAACAGTGACACATGACAAAAGCAAAACTTTTATGTTGCCAGTGACCCCTGTGACTTGAGTCTTTAAGTCTAAGAATACAAGCAGTGTCTCCAAGAGGTGGTCTCAAACCCCTATTCTCTCAGAAGCATAGGAAGAACTATATACAGGTTTCAGGGGCAGTAAAAGATGCTCCCTGAAGCCCAAATGTTGCCTAAATTAATTACGGAAACTAGAGATTAGTGAACCTGATGTTGCTCCTCAGCAGCAATCAGGCTGGATTATTTAGACCGTGTCTGTAAGCACTCTTTATAAAACTATGGTAAGCCCTAATGACAAATAACAAATGCTTATATAGCAGAGACCACGTGCCAGGCCTAAGGGTGTACTTTTACCTCTATTATCTTTTTTTTTTTTTTAACAGATGAGGAAGCTGAGGCATTGAAAGGTTTAATACCTGCCCAAAGTCACCCATTATGTGAACAATTCATTGTGTAAAATATACAACAGGGCCCCATGGTTAGCTTACTGATAAGTGAAAATTAATAACAAAGCAGTTATTCTGTAACTCAGTTGCTCTAGCTTTGTCTCCAGGCCTCTAAAAGATGGAGGGGTAGTGTGTGAGTGTGTGTGTTTGTGTGTATGTGTGTGTGTGTGTGTTCTGAAATGTTTTGAAATTGTCAGCTTCTTCCTCAGATTGTAGTGGCTCTCCCTGGTTAGCTACCCTCAAAGAACCTGTGTACAGGTTATTGGGAGGGTCCAGAGCTGCTGCAGCCAGACCCTACTGAACTTGTACCTGTGTACTGCTACCCACAGCACCCTCTGCAGGCCTCCTTCCGGCCAAAGGCCAGAGAGAAAGAGACACAAGAAAGCAGGTGTTTATTCTCAGCCTCCTGGCCTTCCACCTGCTAATCTTGGCTCTACCACAATACAGTGTCTGGGGTGAGCAGCATCTTTGATGGGTAATGGGGTGACTTCCAACCCCTTGCATTTCCTGCCCCCTTTCTTGACCTTCACCTGTTAGCACAAACCACTTCCAGGCATTAAACAACTTGGCCTCAGAGGCCAAGGCCAGGGAAGCTGCTGTTTGAGGTTATTGTTTCAATTCCTGAAAACGACTCAGCTGGGAGATTGATCTTCTACTTCCTCCCTTCCTTCCCACCAACAGGCCAAAGTGACAGCCACCTGATGGCAGGTCACCACTGAACTTCGGTGACCTTCCTGAGCACGGGCCCCCATCCTCACTCCTGGCTCATCCAAGGCCGGAAGAGAAGGTGAAAAGAAATGAATCATAATGCCATGGAAAGAGCATGAGATCAAATTACAGTTCTGACATTTATTGGCTATGTGTTTTTGAGTAAGTATTTAACCTCTTTGAATCTCAGCTTTCTCATCTATAAAATGGGGAACAATGTTGTTTCTCTTGCAGGGTTATTGTTGCAAAGTACTTATTCAACAGTAAGCAATAGTACCTAACAGATCCTGTACAAAGGCATGTAAAATCCAATTGACAGAGGCAAACAATAATACATATCCCTATGCAAGCATACCTCAGAGATATTACGGGTTCAGTTCCAGACTACTGCAATAAAGCAAATATCGCAAGCAAGAGTCATACAAAATTTTTTGGTTTCCCTGTGCATATAAAAGTTATGTTTATACTACACTGTAGTCTATTACATGTGTAATAAATAGCATTTTGAGAAAGTCTGAAATATTGTGAGAACTATCCAAATGTGACACACAGACACAAAGTAAGCATGTGCTGTTGGAAAAATGGCACCAGTAGACTTGCTTGATGCAGGGTTGGCACAATCTTCAATTTAGAAAAACTGCATTATCTGTGAAGCAAAATGAAACAAGGTATGCCTGTATTAATAACCACCACTCATCTGACAATCTGTAGTTCGTGGTGGTTTATATGTTGTTATGATGCTGGACAACAACAACAACAATGATGCTGGAAGCTATGCCACTGGTATTTAAAATACCAGTAGGGTTCCCAATGGGGGCAGGTTTCAGGGGAGCCCCCAGACTAAGACAGACTTGCAAGAAAGAAAGGCTTGGCAATCTACTTTTAAAAATCTGTGTGTGATTTCAGACAGATGGACCTCAAAACGCCACAACAGCTTAAACTTATACTATTGGGTTCATTGCTTTGGGTGCAGGAATTGTCTCCAGGAGGCCCCACTTAAAATGGCCCAGGTCTGTATGGGCTTACAGATCTATATTTTTAACCAGTCCTTTATTACCTGGTTCATAATTTCTGCAAACTGTGGAAGTTTACTCAGCTCCACAAGATTCAGCCAGGTCATATCGAGGATCCAGCGAAATGGTTTGGGAGGGCAGGCTTTCAGATCTAGGGCTGCTCCCCCTGTGGAAAAGTGCCATGCAGTGTGAATCTGGACAGTTTGTACTTTTTTTCAGAAATTTCTTTTCAAATAATAAAAACAAAATAATGATATTACAGAAACTATGGGGAAATTGGGAAATAATCACATTATAGAAAATGTGGTTATCTTTTTTGGAATTATTTCCTTCAAGTCTTAGTGTTTTATTTACTGATTTACATCACTTTATAAGTCAATATTTGTCAACATTTCCTGCAAAGAATTTTTCTTAGATGGTTGCAACTGCTTGTTTTTTCTTTCTTTTTTTTAAACAATCAGAAATTTACCATTTTTATATAAATGAATAAGCTGATCTTTTCATGTGTGACTTTCAAAATCACTTCTTAAATTAGTCATGACTCTTCCAGAAGTTTAGATACAGAGAGATGGATGGATGGATGGATAGAAGAATGGATGGGCAGGTGGATGAGGACAGGTGGCAGGAAGATGGGGGTTGTTGGCAGATAGAAGGGCAGACAGATTGACAAACAGATATGAGGTTTTTTGAGGGTGACTAATATCTAAGTCGGGAGCTCTGGTGGCACAGTGCCTAAGGCATTTGACTGCTAACCAGAAGGCTGATGGTTCAAACCCACCAGCCACTCCTCGGAAGGAAGATGGGGCAATCTACTTCCGTAGTGATACTGCCTCAGAAATCCAAGGAGGGGTCACTATGAGTCGGCTCCAACTGGATGGCAGTGAGTTAGTTAGGTAGTTAGTTAATATCTAAGTCAGGAGTTCTGGTGGTGTAGTGGTTAAGGCAGTTGGCTGCTAACGTAAAAGGGTGGTAGTTCAAACCCACCAATCACTTGGGGGAAGAAAGATGAGTCTGCTTCCATAAAGGTTTATAGCCTTGGAAACCCAATGGGGTCACTATGATTTGGAATCTACTTGATGGCAGTGAGTGAATATTTAAGTTATTTATTCATTCACTTATTCAACAAATATTTACTTGAGTACCCAATATGTGTCCTGCATGTCACAGACACTGTGGATACAGCATAGAAAACCAGACAAGACCCCTGACCTCCTGGAGTTCATGGTCTACTGAAGAATGTGAGTACTGTATTCTATTTTTACAAAAATAACATGCAGCTTTCTTTGTCTGTATGCCAACTTCCCCCTCCTTCCCTTCGGGTATTTTCATAAGAACGCTATGCTAATTTTTTTAATTTGTGTAAAAATACGGTTTAGCATCAAATGGTACTTTGAAGCAAATTACAAGTCAAGTGAGCATACCTAATGTGGCAATTTTCCAACAAAATATATGATTATATTTACAATTTCAAAATTTCTCTACAGCATGTCTTATAATAATTCCACCTCCACAGCTGTTTAATTCAGGTGTATGCAAAACAGTGATTCTAGAACTTTTAAATCCTATAATCCTCCTTAAAAATAGATCAAATCCTTCCACTTCACACATCAACTCTTGGGCACAAGGGAAAGGGAGGGCCTACAGATCTGCTCTCAGCTTTGCACACTCCTGAGAAGGTGCAAGAGCTAACATACTCCTTTCATGTAAACCCCTTCTGCTCTGTCTCTGAAAATTTGAGGTCTGGGCCTCTGAGTGTCATAACACCATTAGAACCTGTAAACTCTCCTCTCACTGCTACCCCTGCTCCACAACCCAGTGAAAGAGAAAGCCTTACTCTATCGAGCACCATTAATTACTTTGCTAGAAAAGAACATCACGTTCGGTAAAATGGAGGGTCAGCGAAAACATGGGAGATTCTCAGTGAGGTGGAATGACAGACACAGTAGCCAAAATAATGACTCAAACCTATCAAGGATCACGAAGATGACATTGGACCAGGCGACAGTTTGTTCTGTTACACATAAGGTCATCGTGAGTTGGAGCCAACTTGATAGCAACGAGCAATAACAGCACCACGACTGCTAATGCTAAGAGTTACTGGGAGGAGAAGGAACCATGAGAGTCACCTGTGTGCAGCCTTAACGGATTCTGTTTCTCTACTACAAACTCATCCCCTTTCTTCTCAAGTGTTTCCAAAGAAATGTCTTCATGTATCATAAGGCTCACAGACATCAGGAGATGACATCTAAGCTATCTCAATGTTTCCAAACATAATATGTACCTTAACCAACCTCAGAGTCGAAATTCACCCTATCCCCAAGAATATCCCAGCTCTGTCACTGACCAGCTGTGTAAACTTAAACAAGGGCCTCCATCTCTCTCAACTTCCTCATCTGTCAAACGAATGTAATACGAGAACCTATCAGATTGCTTGCTGTAAAAATTAAATAAATTAATACACGTAGAGAGCGTAGAAGAGTCTTGGCCCATAGTAAGAGCTATGTAAACATTACTTGCTATCTTAGCATTAAGTCTCCTTCCTCTGCTTTTGAACATCTAGGTCCAGCCCAACCTGGAAGGTAAGAACGGACCCCTAAGGTGTCTTTTTGTCCATGCCTATGACAAAAGAAAGATAATGTCTTTCTAAAATAACCAAGCAGGGAAAACAAGTACATCATTCGATACTGTAGAATTACCCTTGGTGTCTATTTCATTTTTCAAAGTGTCCTGATATTCTTGGTTGAAAAATAAAGTCAAAGGCACCTTACAAATATTGCTGAAAAGAGTAGTAATTGATAGAAAGGAAATGTCATTCTTGGGAAATCAAATATTTTTGCCATGATATGTCTCTTTCTTCCTTTTCCCTAAGTATTGAGTTCAAAATGATAAAATGTATCTATAACCTAGGACTCATATTTGTTAAGTTTGTGAAAAAAATTGTTTTTAATTTCATACTATCCTTAAAAAATAATTTTTGTCAAAAGGTAAGCCTTTTCAAAATGAATACAACAGTACAATAAACCAATTTTGTTCTTTAGAATTTATACTTCTGTCAACCAACCTATCATACAAATCTCAGATTAATCTTCCTAAAGCATCACTCTGTTCATGCCATATCCCTGCTCATAACACATGTAATGGCTTGCTATTGCCAGCAAAATTAAATCCAAACCTTTGACTAGTGATCCTGACTTTGTACAACTGGGTTCTCCCTGACTTTCCAGTTTTATGATCCAAGTGGGTCGCAAATATGTTCACACCACAACCCAGATGTGCAGATTTCTTCATTTTTCTGTAACAAATTTAATCCTCCTCACGAATTCCTCTGCACTATGTTGCCATATTTCTTTGCAACACAATGCGACCACTGCTGTGCAGTCAGATCCGACTCACAGTGACCCCTTCTTGGGTGTCTGAGGCAGTATCACTACAGAAGTAGATTGTCCAACCTTCCTTCCGAGGAGTGGCTGGTGGGTTTGAACCATCAGCCTTCTGGCTAGCAGTCAAATGCCTCAGGCACTATGCCACCAGAGCTCCCCCATGTTTCCTAGTCACATCTTATTTACATACTCTTTCAAAGACCCCAGTCTCTTTCAGGTTATAGCTCTGGGTTTGGTTGTATTTGGTAGGTAGGGGGAGATGACATGGGGATGTTATGTCTTGATGGGGAGGAGGTCTCAGAACTGCACATTGCCCTCTAGTCTTGACTTGTCTCAGTCACAGGCTGAGATCCCTGTACTGCATCCTCTGAGCTACCACAAACCTTGTTTGATGTGCTGCTGTCCGCAGCCCAAGCACTTGGTCCTGACACTTTGTCTCTAGTTACGAAAGCCTTTACCCCACAGCCTCTTGGTTCAAACCCCAGGCCGTTGCTGTGCACTGTCCCTCTCGACATGTCCATGTGGCCTCCATCCTGCTTGCCAGACCCCAGGTCTGGGTAGCCATTCCTCTCCATCTGTGCTGCCGCGCCGCTTCCATGCCTTGTTGGAGGTGACCTTGGGTGGAATGCAGGGGTATCTCCTATCTGAATGTTTCTCCAGCAACTCCCTCTCCTGAGATCCAGCCTCAGCAATGCATTTCCTGTGGTTGGCAAGATTCCTTGCACAACAGATTTCCTTGAACCTCTCTCTTCTAATCCTATCCATGTCTGCCACATTGGTATTCCTAAAGAAAAACAAAGACCACACCACCACCTTGCTCAATACCCCACAACAACTCCTTGTTTCTTTCCCAATCAAGAAAATACCTTCTCTGGGAATCAAGGCTCTCCATGGTATGTCACCAATTTACATGTCCAGTCCTTCTTCCCATTAGTCCACCATACAGCTATCTTTGTTAGCTAATGCTGCTCTAACACAAATACCACAAGCTGTGGCTTTGAAGAAGAGAGATTTGTTTTCTCACAGTTCTGGAGGCTAAAAGCTCAAATTAGGTTCTTGGTCATGTTGATTACTTCCTTGTCATTAGCCCAAATATCATTCTTTGGTTTTATTAATTACACTTTTAACAGGGAGATAAGCAATCAATAGGATGAGTTTCAATTATAAAATATAAGTAGGCCTTTTTTGCATGGGAGGTCTGGTAGTGTAGTGCCTAAGGCACTTGACTGCTAACCAGGAGGCTGGCGGTTCAAACCCACCAGCCATTCCTCACAAGGAAGGTTGGGCAATCTACTTCCATAGTGATACTGCCTCAGAAACCTAAAGAGGGGTTGCTATGAGTTGGGTCTGACTTGACGGCACATAACAACACCACCAACATATATATATATATTTAAATGGGTGACAATGATCAAACTTAATTTAACTATATAACTAAAAATCATGGAATTAGCTCAGACTTGAAATACGTCCTTTTGAGTGGCCAGAAGAAATGAATGGAAATTAGATTTTTAAAATTTTTTTAGAGGCATAAAAAAAAAAGATTTTCACTAGAACACAATTTCTCTGTCGTATCATAAAAAATGGGTGTATAGTACATCAAAGATTATATCAAAGCAATATCCCATCATACCACATTTATATTCCAAACACTCTACCTTTAATGAGAGCCTGGAATTCTCGGTGCTTAACTGTCCCTCTCTGAAGATCGATCTTCAAGGTCATTAGCAGCACAAAGAGGAATTTGTGGTTTTCATAGAGGCCTCTGACGGAATATGTAAAAACTTCGTATGTCAGAAATTCAATGATGTTTGTAATTCTCTTTTGAGGTAGTGGAGATTTTTCAGATCTACAATACATTTTCAAAAATCAAAGAGATAAGAAGCAACTTCTAAAAGAGTAGGAATACAAACACAGTTTCAAGTTACTGCTTTGGGGTAAAGGCAGCGAGGGCCCACCTGGCCATGGACTGGTCAAACAACTTCAGGAACTGGGCCAGTGAGGTCTGGTACATGATGTTGACCATGCTCATCTCTGTGATGAGGAAGTAGAGGATGCTTCCACGGGTGGCTGCCGGTCGGAACTCTTCCTGTGCCATGTTAATCTTGATTTCGGTCTCTGCGGCCACGTGCAGCTTTTCACTTACTTCAGCGGCTGTCTGTTTGGTGGTTCGGAGGACACCAATGAGTGATTCGTCATCCACCAAAGAACCTAAAGGTCAAACAGGAAAATTATGTACTACAAGACAGAAAAGCCACAAGGCAAGATGCATTTCTTTTGTAATTTTCCTATTAAATTTCAGCTTGACTTTTTAAAGCCATCAGGATAGAAAAGTGGATACTCAAAATTCTTGGGACATCAAAGGATTCTAGTTTAACTAATACCAAGTGCCCGGATCCCTCTAAACATGCTTCCTGTGGGATTATCCCTCACTCTGCCTGCAAATTTCCTCCAAAGGTGCATTTCAAGGCAGACCACACAACAGGTCATTAAATCTTTGATTAAAGGTCCAGCCACTCTCAGAGATTTTTGTTTTTGTTGTTTGTTGTTATATGCCGTCGAGTAAGACCTGACTCATAGCGACCCCTCCTTGGGTTTCTGAGGCAGTATCACTACGGAAGTAGATTGCCCCATCTTCCTTCCAAGGAGTGGCTGGTGCGTTTGAACCACCAGCCTTCTGGATAGCAGTCAAGTACTTTAGGCACTATGCTACCTTATGTGACATGAAAATGCTTGTTAAAGCATTCAGCTCCTAACCAAAAGGTTGGCAGTTCCAAACCATCAGTTGCTCTGAGGAAGAAAGATGAGACAGTCTAATTCTATAAAGATTTACAGCCTTGGAAACCCTATGGGGGCAGTTCTACTCTGTCCTAAAGGATGACTATGAGTTGGAATCAACTCGATGGCAGTAGGTTTGAGTTTTGGTGAGTATGTGATGTGGTTTTCTCTTCCTTTAGCATCTTGGTGGTTCTCTTCAACATGTCACGTGTCCCCCCAGTTTCTCTCATGATGCCAGTTCATCTGAATGGGCTCATCCATGTGAGTGAGTGATTGTCTCTCTGCTCCTACTGCTGCAGGAGAAGAGAGTTCTTGCCACTAAGAGCCCTGGTTTTTCCATGTCTCCAACAAGAGAGAATCTGGAGACAATGTCTCTCTAGCTATTCGATAGACTTCCAAAAAAACCCAAACTCACTGCCGTTGAGTAGGATGTGACTCATAGCAACCCCTCCTTAGATTTCTGAGGCAATATCACTATGGAAGTAGATTGCCCAACCTTTCTCCTGAGGAGTGGCTGGTGGGTTTGAACTGCCAGCCTTCTGGCTAGCAGTCAGATGTGTTAGGCACTATGCCACCAGAGCCCCCTTAGGGGAAAATAAATCTTAATTTTAGTTTTACCCTTCATTATTGTTTTTAATAGACGTAGTACATGTTCATTCCAATAAATTAGTTTTTCAGATATGGGTGAATACAAGGGCATGCTGAGTTAATATCACCATGTCTGCAAAAACAGTGCACTGGGCTGCCCTCGAGTTCTGGGTGGCAAGTGAGTATTAAAGGAAGGTGCTGAGTTACTCTGAAGGGCATGCTGTGGAAGTCCAAATTGTGATTAATCTTGCAGGAAAGAGATCTTGATCCGGCACACTCTTGTCTGCAGCAGGAATGAGAGCCCCCAGCTCTCCTTGCTAATTAATTTAGAATGGCCAGGGGCATCTGAGATAGCTGGGAGAAGTCACTGGACCAAGAGGATATATAGCTTCACCAGCAAAAATGTTCAATTAAGGCAGATAAAAGAACTTTTCACTGAGCTCTCCTTAAAACTAGTGCTAGAGACCATTGTGAGAACAATGCATAATACACTCCAAGAAACAAGATTTTTCTTTTCTAATCCAGGGATTAAAGTCAAGAAATATTCATTTTTAGACCTCTAATAAGTAAGGCATTTGGCTGCTAATCAGAAGGTCCATGGTTCAAATCCACAGGAGAAAGATGAGACAATCTACTTCTGTAAAGATTTACATCCTTGAAAACCCAATGGGGTCACTATGAGTCAGAATCTACTCGATGGCAGTGGGTAGACTGCTAATAAATGAAGGAGGGGAGTTTCTGGGTGGTCAAAAATCGATTAATTGGAATCAAGTCAATGGCAGTCAGTTTTTTGTTTGTTTGTTTTTTTAATACAAACCAAAACCCCACTGCCGTTGAGTCAATTCCAACTTATAGCAACCCTACAAGACAGAGTAGAACTGTCCCATAGGGTTTCCAAGGCTGAACTACCAGCCAAAAAGTCAGCAGTTCAAACCCACCCAGGGGCTCCAGGGAAGTCAGAGCAGGCAATCTGTTACCATAAGTTCGCAACCTTGAAAACCCTATGGAACAGTGCTCCTCTGCACACATGGGGTCATCATGAGTTGGAATCAACTTGATGGCAGCTAACACAATAAAGGGTGGAAGGTAGAGTGCTGTAATTTGCCTCCTACAGAACAATATCATGTTTGTTAAATGCATTTTCTTTTATATATATTGGAAGAGAATACATCCCCTCAAGTTGAGGTGTGGCATGCTTAGCTGCACACGCCGCCCACTGCTCCCAGAAGAATCTATACTTGATTTCTAAGGGAGGTCAAGTCCGGTCGAGAGTGACCGTGGGATTTGGTGCCTGGGTCCCTTTGACACTGATTAAACACATCATAACACATTGCAGTAATTACATTTCAACACCAAATGAAAGAGTCAATCTAGAAAAAATAAATTGAGCTCATCAGTTTCCTTTGGGCAAGCAAATTAGCCTATTACGAGTTACCTAGCTCTGTTGGGAGCCCTTATTTTTCTCAGGAGAGAGCAATTATATCAAGAAAACTATGTTATTCTCAAATGCTCAGTCTCTATTTGCTAATTCAAAAATCAGATTCCCTGCAGTCATACTTTTTAATGTCTAGATAGAAATTGTTTGTCTTGTTTTTACATTGGCAACTTGGCTATTTCCTAACATCTATAATCATGAGGGTTTTGGAAAGAGTTTACAAGGAATCCTTATTCAGAATCTGTTACTTGATTACTTCTTAATAACACAATACCTTTTGTAGCACTTAATTTATAGAGGAGGTTATCTTCAAGTTCTTTCATCTTCCGCTTATTAAAAGTAACATCCTCTAAAAGTTTAACCCTCTCAGACTCTAACTCCTGTTGTTAAGAAACAAAAAATAACATAAGAACTGGAATTATCAATTATTATGCCATTCCCAACTAACCAGTGTTTGTTATCAATTAGAAAATGTTTAAATCAAAGCGCTATTCAAATGACAGAAGAAATGAACATCGTTAGCCAAATCTGTCTATCTTTAACCTTGTTTCTCTGGATGATTTTTAAAAATTGTACTCACTAGCATTAAGTTTTCATAACACTTGTGCTGACATGCATGAGATGAACCTGCCAAAATCATTTTGTCCAAAACCCCCAGCTCTCATTCTAACTCTAAGTTTAGTAAAAGGGCCCTATTCTCTTGGACCTGTTCCTGCATTGCCTCTGTGAGAAATGCTAACTTGATCTGCAGTCAGAAGTGGTAGAAACAAAGAGGCATTAATACTAGCAAACCATGAGGCTACCCAGGTCAAATGTAGGCTCTTGGCTGGGAATTCACCCACAGGAACACCAGATGCCTTGTTTGGCACAGCCAGGTGCCAATTCAAATACACTTTCCATTATATTTGCTTCTCTTTATACAAGCCAAAAAGAGCTCTGGTGGTGCAGTGCCTAAGGCATTTGACTTCTAATCAGAAGGCTGGTGGTTCAAACCTACCAGCCACTCTGCAGAAGGAAGACAAGGCAATCTACTTCTGTAAAGATTGACAACCCTGGAAACCCAATGGGGGTTGTTATGAGTCAGAATCAACTTAATGGCAGTGAGGTGTTTTTTTTTTTTTTTTAATGCAAACCCAAAACCAAACCCACTGCTACTGAGTCAATTCCAACTCATAGCAACCCTACAAGACGGTTTCTAAGGCTATAAATCTCTATGGAAGCAGACTGACTTATCTTTCTCCTGTGAAGCGGCTGGTGGGTTTGAACTGCCAATCTTCTGCCTAGCAGCTGAATGCTTTATCCACAATGCCACCAGAGGTCCTTGCTCCTTACACAGGAGAAGTTAAATTGAGTGTTTAGAAAGTATATCTTTTTCTACATAACTGGTATCTTTTTAAAAATTATACTTTGAAAATATTTCAAACTTTCAGAAAAGTTGTAAGACTAATACAATGAACTCTCCTATATCTTTCATCTAAATTAATTCATAAATCAATATTTTGTTTTATCACTTTCTCTATATATAATACTTATTGTTATTATCATGGCTGAACCACTTGCAAATGTCATGATCCTTAGCCTAAATATCTTAGCAAAGAGCCAGAACATTATCTCAAATAATCACAGTGCATTTTTCAAATTCAAGAAATTTAACATTGGTACAGTAGTCTTGACTAATATAGAATCTCAATTCAAATTGTCTCTATAATGTTTTTTAGAGCAATTTTTTTTCTGGTCTAATACAGAATTACTCATTATACTTAAAATTATGTTAAAAGAAGGTGTTTTAAAACTACTTATTTAAGGAAGTTTCTTGAAAAATTGCTTCAGAAATTACACCACTTCCAGAAAGTCATCTTTAACCAATTAGTTAATCAAAAGCAACAGCACAGTGCTCATCTGCACATCTACTATGGCTTGCATCTAGAGGGCAGAAACTTGTCCTATTAATTTTTGTATTTGTGACAATACTTATCTTGAGGCTTTGCAGAGAAGGGACTCAATCCAATAAATATTCATTAAATTGAAATGTTCTGAATTTAGTTCAACTCAATTTTTTTTTTAAATGTAGGGAAACTGAGGACCCAGAAGTATTAACTGAAAATTATGCCCCAAAATTACACATCCAACTAGTTATTGAAGATGGGGCAATCTACTTCTGTAGTGCTTGTTGTTGTTGTTGTTGTTAAGTGCGGTCGAGTCGTTTCCGACTCATAGCGACCCCATGCACAGCAGAATGAAACACTGCCCGATCCCGCACCAGCCCCACAATCCCTGCTATACTTGAGC